GCCCCTAGTCTAGAAAACAGATGCAATAACCTGCCTAACCCATATTCGGTGCTGAGAATGAGTTGGCCAAAAGTATTAGCTACTTGGAGAGCGCGCGCAGGCCAACACAGTTTGCCACGCCAATGTTGATGAGCCAGGTGGCCGAGCAATCATCACGCAAATCGCTAACACGGGTAATTAAATTTCAGCAGATAACGACTTGCACATCGGCTATTTAGCACAACAGACGGCAACCATCCTCAACAGAGCAGGGAGCCGTTAATTGTCATGGATATGCAGTGGCACAGTGACTGTATCCTATAAATACTACAAATCCCCGTATATGAATTACCCGTAGCTGATGCTATCTCTGATGATGATAATTTCGAGCATGAATCCGAAACGTCAGGCGAATAAAGTTCCTGTTACAGCGATTGCATCTACTGCTTATCAACACAACTTTTTACAATTGTAAAAAATTCCATAGTATTGGCGAGGTTACACCTTAAGCTGCGCTTTCCGGATGTTTTTATACTTCTGAGTATGAACCAGTTTAAAAAAACCGGGTGAATGGACGGGTGTTCCCGCCGATCGACTGTTCAACTCTAGTTTGCGATTCTTCCCTAATTTGCTGGTCCCATATTTTTGCAGGGCCAACACATCCTCAGGAGATCAGTGCATACACAAAAGGCAAGGCATGAACAGTGTGGGCAAAACTAACCGGAGAAGAGGGAAACGGTTGGATAGGTGAGGTCGCGAACTTTCGGCCAAACAGACTTGAAAACCAGAGCAAAGTCGCGGGCCCGTTGAGAGCACTCTGCCACTCTGGTCTCTTCGGCCCACAAAGCCCCGACGAAGGCGCCCATGCTTGTGCCGCCAATCATGTCGATCGGAATACCCGCCTCCTGAAGGGATGAAAACGAAAAAACAAACGGGAAATATAAGTGATAATAATATAAAGAGAACAGGGGCGGTACTGGACTGCGTATCAGTACTGATAATATCAGTAGTAAAAGTACTACAGTAGTAGTAACAGTAGTAGTGGTGGTAGTAGTAGTAGTAGTAGTAGTA